GCTATGGGTCGGAACCGACTCAACGGCACTTAACAACAACAACAACAAGTTTAGGATTAAGGAACCTGGGCAGCACAGTGGATGATAAGCACTCAGCTGCTAACTGAAGGTGGGTGGTTTGAACTCACCCAGTGCTCTGTGGGAGAAAGATGCGGCAGTCTGCTTCTCTAAAGATTACAGTCTTGGAAACCCTACACAGCAGTTCCACTCTGTCCTACAGGGTCACTATGAGTGAGAATCAACTCAACAGCACAGAACAAGTTTAGGATTACTGCTTCTGAAGGAAAGATTATAAATATTGCCATAGTAGTAAACAGAGCTGAGAATGTAATAGCTGATACCCTACTCTCCAACAATAGAGCATCTTGACAGAAAAAGAAACATCCTTCACTCGAAGACATGATAAACCAAAACGAATCAACACAGCCCCAGCCTGGGCTTCTGTCTTATCAGTTAAACAAAAGCTCATTTGAGGGGAGGGTATGGATATATTACCTTGGGTTTCACACTACTCAGAAGTCTGAGCTTTTGCTTCTGCTCTTCAAACTGGCGTCTTTTTCTTTCTTCTTCTAAAAGTTTTTGTTGCTGTTCAAACCGTTTTCTGTAGGAAAAATAATGTAGTGAAGATTCTACTTCAGGGACAACTGTGTTATACTCAGATTCCTAGCATGGTTTCTGCAAGATCCCTTTGCTTTTATAGACCTATGAACTCACTCCACTGCTACTGTATCTACTTTTATTCTTATGAGAATCTGTTTCCCCACTATATTAACCTCAAGATATTTGAAATGAGCCTAAAAATGATTTACCTATTAATACATACAATTCTTTTTCTTGTGTAATATGCCAAGGGAGGAGACAATTTATTCATATAAGAGTAATCTCAGAGAACCGATAAACAGGCAAACTTTCACTTGAGAAGGTGGTATCATATGGGAAAAAGATCAATAATGTAGGAATCAAAGACGCTTGCATTTGGGTCCCACCTTTGTTATTAAACTATGTAACATGATGTTATAGACTGAAAATACATGATGGAATTCTAACCCCTATACATGTGGATGTAATGTCAAATGGGAATAAGGTTTTCTTTCTTATGCTAATGAGACAATATTGTGTAGTTCAAGCCAATCATGTTTGAGATACAAAAGAATCAGTGCAAGCACAGAATGGTGGGGGGTGGGGGGAGGGGGGGATAGATGCCACGTGGAGATTGCCAAAGAACGCTAACAAGTAGTTTAGAGAAGTTGAGACAAAGAGTGTTCATCACAGTGAAAGACTCAGCCCTTCTCTAGAGCCAATGCCCTGACTTGTGTCTTCCAGCCACTTAAACTGTGAGAAAGTTTCTGTCTGTAAAGAGAGCCCCTTGTGTTATCTCTGTCACAGCAGCACTAAGAAAGGAAGACACCTTGATTGACAAGTTACTTCATTTCTCTGGACCTCACTTGCCTAGACGTAAACTAAATAACCAAATACCCCACTGCCATCGAGTCAATTCTGACAGTGACCCTCAAGGACACAGCAGGATTGCTCGTCAAAGTTTCCAAAAACCAAAACCAAGCCAGCTGCCATTGAGTCGATATCAACTCATGTCAACCCCGTATGTTACGGAATACAACTGCTTCATAGGGTTTTCTTGGTTACAGCCAAGTAATCTTGGTGGAAAACATTTGCCAGGTCTTTCTTCCATGGAGCCACTTGGTGGGTTTGCACTGCCAACTTTTAGGTAAGCAGCCCACTGCAAATTGCTTGCACCACCCAGGCTTCTACAAATGTAAAAGAAGAAGGTTGAATGAGATGATCTGTTAGGTGTTTTCTGGAGTCCAGTGTGGCACTGTAAAATAAGCGCTGGGCTGCTAACCACAAGCTCCTTGGAAACGCTGTACAGGATCACTAAAAGTCCGAACTAACTCGATGATACTTAACAACAACAAAGTGTCATCTGGATCTAAACTTACAGCAAAATTATTTTAAAAAATTTTTTAAGCAACTTGACTGTTTTTGTATTCAAATCTACATTAGAGAACATTTTATAAGTTTTAGAATAACTGCTATCTGGTATCTTAGTTATCCTTGAATCCTAGCAGTCTCTTACTGCTGCTCTTCAGCAAACTGTTTCTGCATGTCTGGAGTGTACTGTGGGCCTGGAGGACGCATTCCCAGGAATGGTGCTTGTCCCATGTAAGGCATTCCTGCTGCTGACATTGGTCCCATTGGTATCCCTGCCTAGAAGAAACAGACAAAAGCTTCAGAAACAAAATTTCTCCTTTTAATTATCACAAAGAAAAACTTCCATAAATTCTTTTCTACTATTTTTGTCAACTATATTAATGCATTCTTCTAAAAGATTCAAAGAAGACTGGCTCCTCTTAACATCTCCATCACTTCCATTTTTTCTGTGTTCTCAGAGTTCATGCTACTGTCTAGTAGGGTGTGTGTGTGGGTGTGTAAATTCTTTCAGGCTTTTTGTATACATAAGTATGCATTAACCATTTATATTTCTATGAGCTCACTAATGCATGTTCTTTAAGAATAGGTATTATATCATATATCTCTGCAATTCCAACAATAGCTAAGAGCCTGGCATATAGCAGTCATTCCACAAAAGTAATTAAATCTGTTTTCCCAATATGTTTGATAGGAAAACGAATGTTTTGATGCTGCTACAAGTTCAATATCCAAACTTTCATGGAAAATAAAATATACTTTCAAAAAAACCAAACCCACTGCTGTCAAGTCAATTTTGACTCACAGTGACCCTATAGTACAGAGTAGAATTGCCCCACAGGGTTTCAAAAGCTGAAAATAGTTACAGAAGCAGATGGTCACATCTTTCTCCTATGGAGTGGCTGGTAGGTTCAAACCACTGACCTTCTAGTTGTTATCAGTCAAGCACTTTAACCACCGTGCCACCATGGCTTCTTCAAAATATACTTAATCAACAATAAATGCTACAGCAGTACAATAATATAAAGCTTTCTAAATGTCCAGAAAAAAGAACAGTGTAACATAATAATCGCTAATCACAAAACCTAATATGTTAGTGATGATGAAGCAATGATAATGCTCAACTTTTACTGAGTGGAAATACCTCTGCTCCTCAACTTCTTCCCGGAAAGACTCCCCTTCTGTCCCTAAGTGAAACCGGGCTGGCTTCTGAAGCCTTTTCCTTGAAAAGGCTTTTCCTCCTTTTCCAGAAATGGAGGTTGCCGTTTCTGCCACATTCCCTAAAGGTGAAGACTATTGTTTTTTCCTTCCTATATCTTTTTTCCTTCTCTCTTCCTTCAAAAACTTGGCTATATTTAATTTCTTCTTATCAGACTTCATCATTTACTATCTTACCTTGTTCATGTCAACTACTGACTTTCAACTTCCTCTGTCTTCAGAACTTGGTTATCTTCCATTCTATCTCTAAACTGTTCTTGGTGATGTCAACAATCACTGGATACCTCATTAAAGGGGAGGAGTGCAAGGGCTAAAGGGAACACAGGGCCTTTCAAGTCTAGAGCTTACTTACCACAGTCATATCCAACATACCATTGCAGCTTTCCATAGTCATGCTGTATCCTTGATTTTATAGTGCCAGTAACTGCATCATCTCCAAAATCTTGATTTTAAGCATCCCATTACTTCCTATACTTCAGTCTCATATGCTTCAGCAATTCTCTTTAACCTCATTGATACCTACCATCCATTAATCTGGAGGCCTGGTGTGGTGCTGCAGGATAATGCACTGGACTTCAAGGTCCATTTGAGCTGCAAAGTAGACTGTTCAAACCCACCAGCCACTCCTAGGAACCCTATACAGGGTATCTATGAGTCGGAACCAACTCCACGGCAATTAACAACAACATCCATTAATCTTACCACTTATGCCCATTACCCACCACCCTCTTCATATTCTCACTTCTTTCTGGGTTTGTTTAGATTCCAGGGTTCAATATTATGATGTCGTCCTTGGAAGCTAGGATGACCTGGCTATGTCTCTAGACTTCAGACATACTATCAGGAGGGACCAGTCACTGGAGAAGAATATTATGCTTGGTAAAGTGGAAGGTCAGAGAAAAAGAGGAAGACCCCCAGTGAGATGGATTGGCACAGTGGCAGCAGCAATGGGCTCAAACGTAGCAATGATTGTGAGGTTGCTGCAGGGCAGGAAGTGTTTTGTTCTATTGTGTCTAGGGTCTCTATGAGTCTGGATGAATTCGATGGACCTAACAACAACAAATGTTGCTTTCTTTGTTAAGTGCTGTCGAGTCAGTATCGACTCAAAGTGACCCTTTATAGGGTTTTCAAGGAGAGTCTGATGAGTTTGATCTTGAGGTCCAAACCAACCTTGCGGTCTAGTGCTTTATCCCACAGCGCCACAACAGGACTCCATGATGCCCTTATAAACATACTTACATCCCTTACCTCTCATTCCTGATATGGTCTCCTGGGAAACCTCATCCTTGGTTAGAGCCAACTAATCACCTTCTGTTATGCTTACATCCAAATAGCTGAACATTGCTGACAAGGAAAATGTGCTCTAAATTCTTGATGCAATCTCAAATAGAACCTCAACATACAGCATAGTCTTACATGAAGTTTTTTTTTTTTAATGTTTTATTGTGAATTATGTGATAGTTTACATGGGAGAACACTGGTTTTACATTCATTCTATCATATATCGTATCACTGCTATGGTTACAATCCCCTCCATGCAATCCTTCCCCCGTACCCCCCAGGTCTTCAGCACACAGTCGCTCTCCCTCTCTGGATCTAAAGTCTCCAGCTGCTCCATCGCTCCAGGCTCCATTTCAGGCATCACTGCTTCTCTGGGTAGGGTCCCGCTCTCTGCTCTTCTCCCTTGATGGTCCTAGGGACCTCTACTCCTAGACCGAAAAGTTAATCACTCCCTTCCTTGCTATAAAACATCTACTTTTACATTTCCAACCCTCACAATCAGTCCTGATAACAATTATTCACTATTGTATCACAAGAGACCCATCTGCATTTCATTGCATCAGCCCCGCCTAGACAGATTGAATACTACTCACTGGAGATTCTACCTTCCTCCAGGCCCTCTGGATCTAGGTTCCCTCTTGAAAGCTTGTAAGCCAGTCACTTCTTGCCTTTGTAGCTCCCCACCCCCCATTTTGGGTAGCCAATGTCCAAGTTGTCCATCCCTGTCTACTCTGTGTGTGGAGGGGGTGGGAATGATTCTTGCTGTAAGGACTTGTTCCCTCTTTTGAGCTACTGCTTACATAGGTGTAGGCCAAGTTCATCAAATTGTATGAGAATACTTTTTTTTTTTCCCTCTTCTTTTTACTTCTGGTTGAGCTCTGATCATCCAGTCATTGAAGTCAGGATAAGTGGGTATTATCTGCAAGTGTGGGTGTTCTTTTACATGGAAGTTTTAATCAGGGCTTTGAACTTGTTCACTCCAGTTCAACCCCCTTCTGAGAATTCCCGTTTTCACCCCAGGTATACTGAGTGAAAATCTATATTTTAACAACATCCCCAGGTAATTCTAATGTATACCTATTAAGTTGTAGTTAAGTCTTTGGTACTTTCTAAGTATAGGATCAGGTTGTTAAGTGTTTTCCAGTCTGTTCTGACTCACAGTGGCCCTGTATAGGGTTTCCAAGGAGCTCCTGGTGAGTCTGAACCCTGGATCTTACTGTTCAAACTGACCTTTCGGTCTAGTGCTTATCCTACAGCACCACACAAGGACTCCTATGTTGTTGTTGTTAGGTGCCACAGAGTCTGTACTGACTCATAGCGACCCTATACACAACAGAAAGAAACACTGTCCAGTCCTGCGCCAAACTCACAATGGTTGCTATGCTTGACCCCATTGTTGCTGCCACTGTGCCAATCCATCTCACTGGGGGTCTTCTTCTTTTTCTCTGACCCTCTACTCTACCAAACATGATATCCTTCTCCAGGGACTGGTCCCTCCTGATAGTATGTCCAAAGTACGAGAGATGAAGTCTGACCATCCTGGCTTCCAACACAGATGTACTTCTTCCAACGCAGATCTATCTGTTCTTTTGGCAGTCTATGGTACTTTCAATATTCTCCTCCAACACCAATACTCAAATGCATCAAGTCTTCTACCTTCTTCCTTATTCACAGTCAAACTTTCACATGCATATGAGATAACTGAAAATATTATGGCTTGGTGCAACTTAGTCCTCAAACTGAAATCTCTGCTCTTGAACACTTTCAAGATTTCTTGTGCAGTAGATTTGCCTAATGCAATACACTGTCTGATTTCTTGACTGCTGACTCTATGAATGTTGATGGTTGATCTAAAAAAAATGAAGTCTTTGACAACTTCAATCTTCTCTCCATTTGTATGGATGTTGCTTATTGGTCCAATGGTGAGGATTTTTGTTTTCTTTATTTGAGGTATAACCATACCAAAGGCTGTGGTCCTTGACCTTCCTGGGTAAATATTTAGGACTCCTATGGTATCTATTAAGGAGCTCTGGTAGCGTAGTGGTTACGAATTGGACTGTGAACCTTAAGGTCAGCGGTTCGAAACTATCAGCCGCTCCGCGGGAGAAAGATGAGGCTTTCTACTCCCGTAAAGATTTGCACCCTCGGAAACCCTGTACAGGGTCGCTATGGGTCGGAACCGACTCGACGGCACTTAACAACAACAACAACATGGTATCTATTAAGGAGCTCTGGTAGCGTAGTGGTTATGAATTGGACTGCTAACCTCAAGGTTGGCAGTTCTAAACTACCAGCTGTTCCAGGGTGGAAAGACGAGGCTTTCTGCTCCCATAAAGATTTACAGCCTCGGAAACCCTGTACAGGGTCGCTATAAGTTGGAACCGATTCCATGGCACATAACAACAACAACAACAACAATGTGTCTATTAAAATCATCTGGGGATTTTGTAATAGCACAGATTCTGAGTCAGTATATCTGGGGTGGGGAAACAAATCTCAGCAAGAGGTCGATCTGGGTTGAACTGATTCAGTGCCCTGTTTTAATCCTCTGAAGGAGCTCTGGTAGCGTAGTGGTTACGAATTGGGCTGTGAACCGCAAGGTCAGCAGTTCGACACTACCAGCTGTTCTGCAGGAGAAAGATGAGACTTTCTGCTCCCGTAATGAATTACAGCTTCGGAAACCCTATACAGGGTCTCTATGAGACGGAACCGACTCCACTGCACATAACAACAACTACATGGTCAAGTTTTAGAAATATTCCCCATTTTGCTTAAAAATG